ATTGTAGGCCATACTTCGGAGCTATAGAAAATGTATTTTTATCCATCAACATTAAATTACTCTTTAATAACAAGCCACTAAAGTTGCTTTATTCATAAAAAAAAATAATATATAATTTCGAATACAGATTTTTGCAGATTCTTTTTTCAACTTAAGCAAAAAAAAAAAAAAATTAAAAAATTAATGTTGGATATAAAATATAAAAGGAAGTACTTTAATAACACAAGTTTACAAATTAATATTAATTAACAATTTTTATTTTTTTCCTATACGTCGAAATTTTGATATAAAGTGATAAAAACCAGCATCCTTCTTCTGTAGTGCTGGAAAAATATTTGAAAATGAGAATTGTTTTTTGGGAGCTTGCACATGTTTTGGGAACCTAACAACCAACTCAGAAACAAATTCAATAATATAAAATTTAGGACTTTTTTAAAATTTTTTACCACTTTTTTTGTTTTTACCCGATTTTTAGTAATTGTTTTGTTACGTTTTTTAAAAATTAAAGAAAAAAAAAATATTGACATTTTAAACCAGAATTACAAACTTACGGATCTGTATTTATCCCCTATAATTCATTTCTTGCATTCTCATTTATACTTTTTCTAAAAAACTCTTAAAAGTGTGAGTGATAAAAATGACACATATTCGCCAAGATTTAAGATTATTGCAACGTAATTTTTAATATTTTCGTGAAAGGAATCCATTGTTAGAGTGTTGTAAGGAAGACCAGTAAAATTTTTTATATAAAAAATAACTACAACTCTAAATATCCAATTTTTTCCTCATAATTTAACCCTTTTTTAGCATTTTCATTCATTATGAATAATTCAAAAATTCTACGTCCTAGATTTTTTAAATATTTTTTCTGGACTTAGACGGCCAAAATAAAGAAATTCATATAGGTTTTGTATCATGAGCAAAATCGTTGTAAACTTACACTAATTAAAAGCTGACCTAAAAAGAATGTGGGGGGTACGTAAAACATGGATGTTTGGTATAACTTCTTAAATCTTTGCGATCACCAATTTCATATAAGCTTTTAAAAAAGGTCCGACCTCGTCCCAGTATGAAACTTTAAGAATCTGTTTGTCGGAAATAGTAGGATTTTATTCCAACTGGCAATATTTTGCGATTTTTGGGAAAACGGACATGTTGTTATAAAGGGATATTTTCTTTAAATATTCCAAAATTTAGCAAATATCGTTAAATATTGGTGAATACAAATTTTAAGTTGGATAGTAATTTATAACTATAATATGGCTTAATTAAATAAATAACTCATATTTATGTTTTCGAAAAATTTGAAATATATCTAAAGGTTTAAAATAATAACTCCATATTTTAAATTTCTGTTAAAACTTAAATTTCTTAACTATGTAAATTGGCATATTTTTCTGTCATTACACTTAAATTTTAAGCAAAATAGTAGATCTATTACACCATCTAGAACGCCATAAAAATATTTTTTGGACACATTTTTAGTTTTGGCCAAAAAAGTGGTCATCTGAAACATAGTGCACTGTTAAACGCGGATTCAAAAAACCTTTTAAATGATAAAAGTTAAAAAAATAAAATATATCTAAAAGGGAGCTTTTTTGTAACAGGTCACGAATACTCAAAATATTTTGGGAACCATTATAAAATAAAACAATAATTTTTCAAGCTGGGTGAATTTTCCTTCTAAATATGCTTACGAAGGGACAACAGTAAACCCCATAACAATAAATATTTTAAGAAGGGTAATTAAAGTACCTTCTTTGAGATACATATAATATTTTAATTAGATTTCGAACGAATATAACATTTTTACCTGTTTTTAATTAAAAACTGAAAAATTTTTATATAAAAAATCTTAAAAATAGTCGTAATCGGTCAAAATAATCGATTATTGGGCCCGATTATTCGACTTAAAAATGGAAACTAAAATAGTTGATTGAAAAAATCGAAAATCGATTATTGGCTTTTCATACCATTCACTATCTCTAACAATGGATTCCTGTCATAAAAATATTAAAAGTTATGTTAATAACCTTAAATCTTAGTGAATTGATGCTATTTTTATCACTCACATTTCCAACAGTTTTTCGGAAAAGGTATAAATGGGAATGTAAGAAATGAACTATGAGGGATAAATTCAGATCTGTAAGTCTGTAATTCACGTTTTTTTAATTTATCAAAAAATTACTAAAAATTGGGCCAAAAATAAAGAAATCTGGTAAAAAGTGTGTTAATGAAAACCTAAATTTTATATTATTGAACTTTTTGAGTTGATAGTTAGGTTCCCAAAACAATTCTCATTTGTTCAAATGTAAATTAACCACCGGACAAAGCCCTTTCCAAAAATATATGTTCCATCCAATGAGCAAACAAAAAATATTAATTTGTAATCATTATTATTTAGAACAAAGATATTACTCATCCATAGTAGTTATGAACATGGTAGGCAACCGTAATAACGGTATCGAAATTGGTATTAAATTTTTTTATTATTTAGGTATCGGTAACGGTATTTAAATTATAATGGTATCAGTATACCTGTATAAAAAATATTAGAATTAAAAAAAAGTTAAAAGAAATAAAAAGTTAAAAGCCATATTTCATAGTTTTGAGTTTTTACTTGTAATTATAAATAATTCTGTAGTATTTACTATTATTATTAATATGTATGTATAAATATTAATATTATTGGTCAAATGTGGCTTTAAAATATTACAATAGATGAAATAAATAAATAATAAATAAATAAAAAAAGAAAACAAGAGAGTTATATTTGCCAAATCTGAATTTCCGAAAGAGCTGTAAATAAATCATTAATTTCTGATTTTATATCGTAACGAATTGCCTAAATTTTGAATTAATTCCTTTCACAAAAAAGAGAATTGAATGAAATTTGAATCAATTCAAATGAATTTGATAAAAATTAATTGCAATTCATTTCCAATTCGAATAAATTTACCAAATGAGTTGCAATTCGTTTCTAATTCAAATGAATTGCAATTCGTTTCATATTCAAATGAATTTGTCAAATTGCAATTCGTTTCATATTCAAATGAATTTGTCAAATGAATTGCAATTCATTCAAATGAATTAGAACAATAAATTGCAATTCAAATAAATCAAATGTGAGCAATCAAACAAATTCAAAAGCAGATCTAGGGGGAATAACAAAAGGAAATGCTTCAAACCAAAATTAAATAATTCTGTATCAAAATTGAAAAGCTCTGTCGTGGATCCGCACCTCATCAAAGAAAACATGGTGTTTGGAGTATGGAGAAGAACTAATTTATTTTGAAATACTCCGAACGACAAAACACATTAAATGTTTAAGAGTCAATGAATATTTTATTAAATTTTGTGACCCACCACCACCCAATTACAAACTTTTTGGTAATATCTATTAAAAAAAAAAATAATAATAAAACGATCTTTCACATATGAACAATTCTTCATAACTAAATCAAAAATCAAGTATATTTAATTAGAATTCATTCTTCTCCTTCAATAATAATAACTTTCTGTAATTCAATCTACAGCGTAGATTTACTAACAAAATCAATTCATATTTCAATGAGTTGGAAATGAATCGCTAATTCCTTTTTTAATTCATTTGAATTAATTAAAAATCAATTCAATTCAAATGAATTGGAAACGAATTGCAATTCATTTACCAAATTCATTTGAATTGGAAATTAATTGCATTTTATTTTTACCAAATTCATATGAATTGACTCAAATTTCATTCAATTCATTTTTTATGTAAAAAGAAAATTTGCTAATTCAATTCACAATTAATTCACGAATTAATTCAAAAATTAATGAAATAAATAGTGCCCTTCATTTTGGATTAAGATTAAATTACTTAGTACTATCTTGGACCAAAGTCTACAGAATTTTATAGCTGGTATGAGGGCTAGGAGATATTGTGGACTGATATTGCATATTTTCTAGAGGATCCTCGGCTTGGGCAATATAATGTTTTACAGATCATCATAAAACGGACCCAGATTATATAGTATTTTTTTTTTAATTTAAAAATAAATAATACATAATATCAGAGACTGAAAATAACGGGTCCACTTGGTTTTTATAAGGTTAATTGCTGTGATCACCATTTATAATTGTGTTTTTGCAGTTTATCACTGAGAGAAACCTTTATGTTAGATTTTTTTTGATAAGTGGTTGAGAGAAACCGAAAAGAAAAACAAAATAACTCGCTACAATTGATTTTTATTTTGTAAACATTTTTAATAAGGTCTGCTTATGATTTTTATTTTTAAAGCAAAACAATAAGTCGCAAATGTAAATACACGATTAGGACACACACATACTACTTCAGAAATCATAGCAAACAACAACAATATACTCTCCCACTCTCATATAAGCAAGAGAAAAAAGGAATACAAAAACCAAGTGCTCAGACAAAAACATAAGTAACAAAACAAAAGTAGTAAAGGTTATACTAAAACATTTAAGTAAAAATCATTTTATAACTGTTATTCTGAGTGATTTATTTTAAAAAACAAAAATAAATCACAATTCATTCACTTTGGTTATGTGGACCAGTTATTTTCAGTCTCTGCATAATATATACCTATTAAAAATGTTCATGTTTTGGTAATGACCAGTAGATTTTTATTACAAAATATCGGAATTGAAACTGTTATAATACCGGTATTGATACCGTTATGATAACGGTATTGTACCGGTATGATACTGGTATAAGGGTAAACGGTATTTGAATACCGTTTATTTTGGTATCGGTATCAATACAGTTATTCAATTTTAAACGGTATTTAATCGATATCGGGTTTCAAACTTGGTTATGAATAAAGTAATAAACCATTAAAGCTAATTATGATATTAAATAAACTAATTTTGTTTCCTGATTACTCGTATAAAACAGCATTGCTAACAATAATAACTACTTCAGTAAATCGATCGAATATTTTCGTTCTTATTTTAAATTTAAATTTTAAAACAACAAATAATCAACAAACCTGAATGTAATAAGATTGACCTGGCTGTATGGCTGATAAAAGATCAATGGCCTTATTGACATTAGCATTTTGTAGCATAAATTCAGCATGAGCAATAACTAAACGTCCTTCCTCAGATGTTTCGTTGAATTCTTCCATAGCGCATTGTAATAGACGTTCGCTCTCATAAACTCCCTGACTGTCGCCAATATCTTTGTAAGTGCTAATCAATTCCAGATACAGGGTCACCTTATCGGCGACAGTAAAATTACTGAGCAACTCAGTTCGAGCTCTGCTATTAGGCGATTGAATGCGTTCTGGTAGTGAAGTTTCATTGCCTACCAAATGCATGGCAGATATAAAGCTTTTTTGAGCCTCCGTGTACTGCTGTTGATGACGCTGTCCAATGCCCAACAGTAAATAATATCGAGGATTTTCTCTAATTGCAAAATTATATGAAAGGGCTAACTCAAGAGACTGCAGTGCCTTAGAATACTGTTGCTGCTGCATTTGGATCTGGGCCAATAGGAGGTATGCATCCGTATAAGTTACATCAATATCATTGAGAATTTTTTGCAATATTGTAGCTGCCATAGCCACTTCACCACACAAGAAATGTACCTTGGCCCTCATAAATATTGCTTGTATATGTGAAGGACAAAACTTAAGAATATTATCTAAGATCGTCATACAATGTTTAAGTGTTATATGCAACGTGTCTTGAGATAAATTGAGTCCATGCTTAATGTTAACTTGAACCGGTGAATGGTGCAAAAATTCAGCTGTAATCTGTAATAAAAATTCTGGATTCATAATGTGAGCATATTCTGGTCCAAAAGCGTGTCCTTCCAACTTTCGCATATGAATTTCCGTTGCTTTGGTCAAAAGTGCAATGGCTTGATCACTTCTAGATGTAATTTTCGCTCGTAAAAATAATAACAATGGATCACAGTCGCCCGGACGTAACTCGTTCAAAAATTCAACTTGTTGTTGAGCCTGCTCAGTACATCCATGTTCTAACAACTGGCAAGCAGTAAGGCCGCAAAGAGCGTTAAAGTTATTGCTATCTATTTTAATTGCTGAGCGATAGCATATCGCCGCCTCTTTGATATTTCCTAATAGCATTCGTTCATTTCCCAACTCAACAATGTATTCTACACCCGATGGATTAGATTGAATAAGCTTGTCAATAAATCGTAGCGTTAGCGACAATAGTTCTGCATTGCGTGAACTTATGTGAGCAAATAGCTGACATATCTTCAAAAGAATTTTCGAATTACTAGACTCTACGCGCTCAGTAGCAACTAGTAATTGTTGCAGAGTAGAAATACCACCCTTCATGTTCCCCTCTCGTGTAATCAACAATAGTGCCTTTACCTGTAAAGCCGGTATATTAGTAGGCTCCAAGTTTATTATGCGTAAAGCCGTCTCATAGGCATGATCCCAATCTAAAGCAGCCAACTGAGTGTTCATCTTCTCAATTAAGGGAATATTAAGTTCCGGAAATCGCACGGAAAGTCTATTCAAGTTGTTAATGGCGTTCTCAAATTCACCTCTTAGTTGATAATATCTCACTAGTGCCAAAGATAAATCAATATTCTTGCTGCTCTTAGCCAATACGTGTTCTAGGGTGTTTAATATATTTCCACCAACGAGACCTACAGTTTGACACATTTCCGTCCACGCCTTCAACACAATAGAATACTCGTGCTGACTATCGAGTTGTAATGCTTTATCAACATATTCGCGAGCCTTTTCGTACTTCCTTGCTAAGAAAAGGAATACTGCTGCATTGTAAAATCCAATTGCACTTCCCTTTTTTAGGTCATCCGTTAATCGTTTTTCAAGCACTCCAATTGCATCGCGATCGACAACACTGCAGTGTTTGTGTGCATAAAGTAGAGCAATTACAGCGCCAATTCCAAGATCTGAATCATTCTTTAAAGGATTCAATTCGCGTATTCCCTCTTGTACCCGGTTTCCTAGCACTAGTGCAATGCCATTGTAAAGTCTAAACACAATATGTGACGGAAAGCGTGCCAATCCGTCTAAAGCAGTCTTCTGCATAATGTGAAAAAACTCTGATCGCCCATAGTATAGTAAGAGGCTTTCAAAATCATCCGTATCCAACATACTTACAGTACACAGTAATAATATTTCAGCACGATATAAACGTTTTCAAAGACTAATCAGCTTTTACTTAAAATATAATTTTATTTTTGTATATATTTTATGTACTTGGGTTCATATTTACAAACATAGCTACGAACAAAAGGACATTTTATTTCTAGCTGCAAATCGTTTTTAGCCACATATTCCAAAGCTATCTGTAATAAGAAAAGAAACCAAATACTCGTTAATGGCGAAGAAATCAGAGCACAAAGTATTCTTTGTGATCAGAAATCAATTAAAATAGTATGGAAATAACAAACAATTTTTATTTAGAGTATTTGAATGACCAGCTGACCTTTGCTAGTATTTTTCCGATTCCCCGACCTCCTAATTCTTTCGGTACCTCTGTGTGCTTTATAATAACCAACTCTTCATTTCTATCGTACTCTATATATGCGCTACCAACATCTTCCACGTCAACGTAAAACTTTCCTTCATCGGGATCATGTTTTACAATTAGTTCAATATCACTCCCTTTCTCAGTTGCAGACGATGAAGATCTACTATTCATTAGCATTTGGAATCTGAAAACGACATTTGCTTCTCCCACATATGTCTTTAACTTTCGAATTTCCCTTAAAACATAAAGTTGATGATGATATGTACGACTATTAAATGCTTCCCGCAATTCACTGGATAGCACTCTCTGTATTATTCTGTGGTCAGTGGCATAACGTCGTAAGTGTTTGGTAAAATTTAAGGTGCTTATCATTTCAAAATACTGTGCAGTAAATAAAGAAGGTGAACTTGATAGAAATAGAAAGAAAAAAATATTATTCAAAACACTTACGAAAAATATATATTTTTTTATTTGGACGCGATGGAAACAAATGAAAATATTTCACACCAAACAAAAAAATCTACAATGCATAACATATATTGTTGTTGTATGCACATCAGAGCCCTCCGCCGACAAATATTAACGACGGCTGGCACTAAGTGGCGGCCAGTGTACATTTAATAAGGTACAGTGTAAACCAGGGTGCACTTATAAGGTGAAGTCAATTCTACAAAAACAACAAAAGTAGATACTTCTGTCAAAAAATTTACATGTTGCCACCGTGTTTTTTTTTTTGATTTACCTTACAAAAAGACAATCCCACATGCCCAAAAATATCTTCACGTAAATTAAATATGTATTATAAGATAAAATTTATTAAAAATTATACATGAATTGAAAAATTATTCACAAACAAAATTTTTATTTTATAAACGGTATTTTGTATGGAAATTTTGTTTTATAAACCTTTTATAAAATAAAAATGTTGTTTGTGAATAAGGTGGTTGGAATATTATTTATTATTTACTTATTAAAAAAGTAAATAAATCATCAATTAAAATAACAAAAAATTAGTATTAGATTATAAAATTGTAAGAAGTACAAAAATACAAATTATGTATATACATATTATTTTTTATCAGTCAATATTGGGATCTTATAATACCGTGTAGGTCTCTACTATTGTCGTATAAGAAATATATAATGATCTTTATAGAAATGTGACCAAACCACTACCATGGAAAGTTGTCAAAAATTAAGATATCTATGATAAAATCGAGTTTTAATAATTTTATTTACAATTGTGGAATGTTTGTACTCTCAATTGATTAGTAAAAAGTTCCCTATAATTGATAAAATAGATTCATATTTAAGACAAATAGTTTGTGCAATTTTTTAGTATTTCGCATAAATTTACTATGGATTAAAATGAATATAAAATTTATTTATTAATTTTTTGTCCTAAAAATATAATGAATCCCTAGATAGATGTACATATTTTTTCGGATTGTGGCAACTCTAAATGGTGTACTTTGACAGTTGTATCTACCTCAAATAAAAAAAATGTGTGATCAGCTGTTGAATTGACTTCACCTTATAAGTGCACCCTGGTGTACACTTAATAAGGTAGCCTCGTCGCTACAACAAATACAACAATACAAAAACAGCAGGCTATTTGTTATTGTAAATAATCCCATCTGTCAAAATAAACTGCATGCGGAGAATGGAAAAGCAACAAATAAACAAAATAAAAATACGATTTTTTAGCAAATATTTCAAATTTTAACTATTAATATTAATATATTAAATTAATTAAACGTGGAATGACTGAAAATCATAACTTTAACTATTGGGAAGACAAATTTTGCGAATAAAACGCGCTTTTTGTTACGTGTCCCAAAAAGCATTGTAATGGTGATGCCAACTAGCTCAACGGCTCACCTAGGGAAAGGTTCCAACCCACCATTACAACCCAAAGGACAAGCACAACGAATTAAAAATAATTCAACTATAACAACAAAAAAAAATTATCACGAACGAAAATTGCACCTCGAGATAGTAGGTAGAGCTGTTACATACCTCACGACTGCCCTCCCAACCTGGACTGCTATTCATTCCTAAACTTTCATATTTTTATTGCAGTCCCCATTATTGCACTTCAACCACACTTACCTCACATCGTTAACTTAAACCCCAGAAACAAAAATTACCACATGACAAACATTTCTAATTTCACATTACAAATAATTTATTAAATTTATTCTTAAATTGTAATCTAAAAAGAAAACTAAACTAGCCTTAACTATTCTTTTGTTTGGTCTTTTACAAATAGAAACTTTTTTTAGAGTAAATTTAAATCGAACGGTTAATGAAAACCAATGGTAATATTATTTGTTTGTTAATTTGTCTTCAAACAGAAATAATAAAAAAATATAAAAAAAAATTGTCTTTTAACTAATGTCTAAATATAATAACGACTAACAAATTATTTTAATTTTAAGGGCAAGAATATACTCTAACCTAAATTTGTGGATATATAAGTATAAATTTTATTTCTCTAATTAACAAACAACAGACCTTCCACAACCTATAAAGTTTACCTCAGGCTTTCTATAAGAACTTTAATTACTATTTATCAATAAACCTAACCTAAAGGAGCTCGCTTAGGTTACCACAGTGTCTTTAATATAACACTAAATGTTCTTGTTTAAATTGACTTCAGCCTCACTTGTTTTATTAAACTTTATATGTTGCAAAAATACTCTATTGGAATCACAAAAAAAAATGTTTTTATCGCAATTAAAAAAAAACAATCTCACAAATGTAGGTACTATTACTCTATTATTCCCCTTATTACAACAATTCAAAACTTAAAGAACTATGACTATGTGAAAATAAAAAAAATTAAAACTAATTGTACAAAAAAAAAACTAACACTAAAGCTTATTATTATTAACGTCTAAATCTCCTTTTTTTTTTATTAAGATCGCTAGTCACAACACTTAATATGTATATATAAAACTAATTTAAGATGGCGATTTAAATGGAGCTAATTTATCGGCTTATATAAAGCATCCATTTTTAAATATGTCGGACTATATATACATATATGAAATCGTTTGATTTAATTTTCAATGTCTGTATTATTTACTTTTCTTCTTTTAATAACCTTTTTTTTTGCTTCAAATATCTTCGCACTTAATTTTTCACTGGAGGCTGCTTTTGCCCAGGATTCTTGTTTTATTTATTGTCTACTTACAGGTTACAATTGCCTTGGCTTTTTACCCAAAATAAATTTCCACCTTGACTTATATTTGGTGTTGGTAAAAGATGGCCTGTCGTAGCTTCTTCAAAAACAATTTTCCTTGCGGTAAATTTTCCTTTAGCCTCCAGCTAAATAAATTATTATTATTTTCCATAAGCCTTTATTTAATTTATAACCTGTTGTACCTACTTTTTTTTTTGTTTTAATACCAGCTTCAGCTTATGTATTTGTGTATAACAATGTAAAATTTTGTCCTCAATTTACTTGTTGTTATTATCAATTTATTTCAATATTTAATCTTTAAATTTATTTATTAAATTTTTAACACCTTTTCAGATTTGTGCTTCTATTGTGTTGTAACTTTGATCTAGTAATGGCGCTTGTGAACGTTTCGCCATATTATCATGCCCTATAACATTTCCAAAAAATTTTCCTTTCCAGACACTACAATAAAGCTACACTTATTTTCCTGACATTTCGAAACTAAAACAGGAATGTTCATCATACTATAACGATAATTTATGAATGAATTTTCCTGACGTATACATCTCTGTCATTATTATACTTTTTTAATCTGGCAATACCTATAAGTTTTCTTTCTTTAATCTATTACAAAAACTTTTACGCACATACAATCCACATGATCTACAACAGCTGATCAACACATTGCAATTTACCACTCATCACAATATTAAACAAAACACAAAAACTGCTCGAAATACACATAAAATAAAACATTACATGAAACAAACAATAAACCAAACAAACAAAACAATCACAACGCACAAGAAACAACCAACAAGGGACCACATGAAACTCAGATCACAACATACAGGACATAACAAAACCGAACAAAACAACACGGGAAAGACAACACAACAACATCAACACACAACCGGAGCATATAGGATCGGTCGCGAAATGGAACCACATCATCCACAGCTAACATACTCATGTAAGTTAAGATTATTGGTTGTTTGAATATTAATTTTCCTTTTGTTTCAACAGTTCCATCTGTGAGCCACAAACCACATCAGTGACCATGGAGACTATTACTACACGCAACAAAACTCCGCTACTGTAAAGGACCACTGCAACAGAAACGGTGTGCGGTGTAATCAAATGGGCTTGTCCTTTCCTTTTGGGCCAATTGAAAAACACGTGGGGAACTCCCTCCCACCCCTGATTCCACCAGCCGGGCATTTTCAGGTGAGTGCAAAAATACAACTTTCCACTAAGAGTAAATCTATTAGTTAGCTATGTCATGTCAACGGGTCGTCAAGTTAGTTCATTAAAGCAATTTGCCAAGTTAAGAATCTACATTACGGTAAAGTTTAGGAAACATACAATGGACAGTTTTACTTTTGTATAAATATTTTAATAATTCGAATGTGCATACAATAAGTGACATAATAATCCTTTCAATAATCCATACAATAAAGAACAGAGACAAACATAGACTTAAACTAATATTGCACTCTATATCTATATTGCATTAAAATTTTTAGATTATCTCAGTTTTGTTCTATTGTATTGCACTGACAGAACTTAAACTATAATATTTAAAAAAAATCACCACATTATAGGACAGAAACAAACATAGATTTAAACTATATTGCACTCTATACCTATATTGCACTAAAATCTTCTAATATCACAGTTTCATTCTATCACAATTATATTTTTATGTCCTTTGCATGGAAAATTCCTATTGGTTTGCCGCTGAGATCCTCTAACTCGAACATATTATTCCCTATTGGTCTAACTATCCTACTTTTTAGAAATTTTCTACAGAATTTTGCATTTATATTGCTTTTAAAATCTGATTGTATAAAATTTCGTCTATAAACTTCCTGGCCAGGTCTAAATTTGGCAACACGTGCTCTCTCATTGTATCTTTTTGCGCTTCGTTCGTATGCTTCATGCATGTTCTCTCTAATTTTTTCGTGAATTATTTTCTTACGATCATTTATATCGAGGTTAATTATTTGGTGATCAGTCATTGAGTTCAATTTCCTGGCTAATTTATAATCT